CATAATTTTATCTAAAAAATTACTTAAATCATCTAAACTCCTAAAAATGTCATCAAAACGACGAGTTTGGAGCGTCTTCCCACTGTTAAAGAACTATAAAGATTCACACAAAAGTTGTGTATTTTCAACTCTAATTTCTAATTTAATTAATTATTCTAATTTTAAATCTATATCCATAATAGTTCTAATATAAATTCAAATGTTTATTTAAATAAAAATAAAGGGTTCCAGTTGAAAATTCAAAGTTGCTACACCCATCGCGTTCGCAGGAGAAATAAGAACCCTGCTATTGCATAAGTATATAGATTTTGAAAAACCATAAAAAAAAATTCTAAGTTTTCTTCGATACGACGTCTAGTTCTCGAGATATTTGACAATCGCCTTTCTGGACAGAGCACTTTAATAATGTAATAAATATTTATTCAAACCGAAATAAGCCGAAGGAGTGAGAGTCTGACTGTAAAATTCATTTGCGATGTTGCCAAATTTACCGGATCTCGGGTTGTCTACAAAATGTATATTTAGCATATACACAACGGATCGCTCGCACTGCCTCTACAGCGGATTTAGTGGAACTACTGCAATATAAAATTCACCAAAAGGGGTGCAAAATGAGGTCCAGACAAAAATCGATTTCTTTGTAACCCCCATCATTGTTACGTCGAGATATCACAATATACACGTGAATACAAGGTGAGGATCCAAAATCGATCTCTCGCCTTGCAAAACGGATCTCACCTTGTATAGCTTATGATACAAACGGATCTCGCCTTGATAATGAAGACATATATATATATATATTATATATATTAATATATATATATATATATATATAATTATATATATATATATATATATATATTTATATATATATTATATCAATAATATATATATTTATATATATATATATATATATATATATATAATATTATATATATATGTTCGGAAAGATTTCCGCTGTTAGTACAATAAAACCTAGAGCAAAGATTAAAATTATTACTAGAATTAATATCAAATTCACCAGTCTTCCGGGTTGAACCGCGTCGATATCCATTTTGCCGAGCTTTCGGCATCCTCTCTGATGCCTTCCTCAGGGCTTCCGAGGTCTCAGTCTCCCGAGTACTTCCGAGTACACTACGCTAGTAGTGTCACTACTGTAGTAGTGACAGCGTAGTGATCAGTGAACAGTGTAGTAGTGTCTGGGGGCTCGGGAGACTGAGACCTCGGAAGCCCTGAGGAAGGCATCAGAGAGGATGCCGAAAGCTCGGCAAAATGGATATCGACGCGGTTCAACCGGAAGACTGGTGAGTTTGATATTAATTCTAGTAATAATATTAATCTTAGCTCTAGGTTTTATATATGTATATATATATATATATATATATATATATATATATATATATATATATATATACTGTTATGATCTGCTATTAACCTGTTGGTATTGATGGGACTCAGCTACTTTAATAATTAATTAATCAAAAATTTTATTAATTAATAAAATCAAAACATAAACAAAATACAAATCTCAGGGCTTATTTTTTATATAAATCACCTTCATTCGTGGCTTATGGTATTTCTTAGTTCTTTCCTGATCGGTATAGACACGGAAAAATAAAAATACACACAAGAATTCAATAGAGATCACACAACAATTTAGTAGAGATAACATTTATTTTATCAAAAGGAATTAAAATATTAAATATTGCAATTTTTTTAACCATTATAACTTTAACAATTTATAATAAACAAACCTGATTGAATTTGGATAATTTTATATTATTGAAATGTTATGAAATTTAATATGCAATATGGTATTTAATACGAAAAATCCATACATTCATGTGACAAAAAAAAAACAACTGACCTTTGCTAATAAATCGACAATGTTGTAGCGTTGTAAATTTTTATATTTAATATCTATATAATAATATTAATTCGGTTTTAAAATTTTGTGGTACGCCGCTGATTTGTTTCAGACGTTTTAGGAATTTTAGAACGATCAAAATATTATGGCGTCTAAGAAGATGCTTAAATGCGTAATAACGCTTCAAATATTTTTTGCCTCTGTTACAATGTCAGGTAGAAACTCCTGTTTAAACTTAGGGACGCTAGAATAATTAATAAATACGTGTTGCTTTTACCCAATTCAAAAGTATATATTTCAAGATATTTTTTGTAATTAAAAACGATTTGTTTACATGAGCCCACAAATAAAATGCAAGTCAGATATTCAATTTTCCACCACGCATAGTGATGGGGATATTTTAAGGTTATTATGAACCCTTGTCGACGGTATTTGTTTTGTTTAAGTTTGTAGGCAAAATCAGCTGCAAGAAGAGAAGGGAAAATGGATTGTGGCGTCGAATTTGTAGAAAGTAACGCAGTAAGTCAGTCAAGCAAGAGAAGTCAAGCCTGATGTTGAGTTAAGATAGCACTTATACGAAGTGTAATGTTGGGGCAAATTTGAATTGAGTCGATTCAATTTTTTTGTGTTGTCTTAAGACCGATAAGATGATAATACTCTTTGCATAGCAGTTTAGACAGAGTAATCATCTGAATATTTATACAGTGTACCGGAGACTAATGAAATTTTTGAAGAATAATATATAGGATGTCCCCATTGGCCTTTTTTTGTTTGCTGCTTGATTCGACCCCATTCACGGCTTAGATCGTCGTTCCTGAGTACAGAAATGGTTTCCTGTGTTCCAGTTTGAGAATTTGTCCAAGTAGCTTCCCCAGAGATGAAGCAAGTTTTTTTTTAAGTTAAGTAGTGCGATATATGAAAATAAGGTAACGATTGATATATTAAATTTTTTTTCAAGTTATATAGACATTTTTAATAATTGCTTTCATTAAAATAAAAGAATTTGTAATAATTAAAGTTTTATATTATGTTAGAGTCGTAGCTAAAAAATATCATATTTTATCCTGTCTTAAAATGTTATGTTGATATATGACATTTTGCTCTAATCCATTGTTGTTGTAAAACATTTTTCATTTGATTATTATATAGAAAAGATATTTCATGTATAAGGTTAAATTCTACAGTATTTTCATAAAAAGGATATCCTTAAGTTTTCATAATCTAATTTGACCATATTATAACCTAGGAACCATTTCAAGAATTTTTGTAGCAATCTCTTTTATAAACAAATAAGACGTAAGTTTTTGTTAATTTGTATTATGTTATGTAGTATGCTCTTGTGTAATATGTATTTTTGAAAACTGTTTGTTTGAGACAAAAATAAACGTTTGTTTTGTTTGTCTGATCCATTTTGTGTTTTAATTTAGAAAAGTCTCCTAATCCTTGTATGTATTTTTGATTTTAGGAGAGAAGAATTTTTTCTTTCTCCCAGCAGGAAGTTTTCTTCAAAGCGGCGTCCAAATAGAAATAGCTAGAGGTAACCTTGTCTGCCATATCTTATTTCGTTTTTTACCCAGGAGATTTATGTAAGTATCCCTTTGTTTTTATTTTGTAGATACCCCAATCCGACCAATTTAATTTCAACTTATCCACGACCCAGCTCTCCAACAAACCCTTGATTGCCGTACGCACTAGTTTCGATTATTTTGTTTGCCCAATCTACCCCATGTTCTTAACCTGAGGTAAGCAAACTAGTTCGTTACAATGTCTGCACACATGTCTGCCTGTGTTTCTGCTACTCTGCAAATTCTGCTCTTTGTATTGTTCACTGCTTCCTACAGTGCTCGTTCCTATCTTCTTCTGATGCAATTCTCCACCTTTTTTAATCACTTCTACTTTTTAAAGTAACCCAAGGATCTCCTTTGTTGACGGTGCCACAAATTTAAACAAACTTTTCCTCGTTACTTACACAACTGGACAGATCCAAGGAGTTTTCAAATGTACCTCTCTACATGGTAATTCTTTTATTTATTATCATTTATTGCCTATAGCTACCGCAAATTCTATTACGATGATCTTTTCTGTTGAGTACCAAAGAAGCTTCTTGCCAATGCACTTATGTCCAAACTCAAGATATCATAGTCTAAAAACTATTAGAAGCCCATTATGTTGGAATATTCCCGAAGTTAACTAAAACTACCAATCGATGTTCTCCAACAAATATTTTGGGCCCAAAAGGAACTTATCTCATCAACCTTCCATCAAGATATAAATTAAATAACCCAACCCATAGTTATATAAATTAAAGAACAAATATCTTAGAGAAACCGCTAATGTTTCACAAAATTAGAACCATAGATATTCAAATAGCAATCAAATTCAAACCACTGAGGGTAGATAACATTCCCTTAAAACAAATTTCGAAGAAATACTCATGAAATACTCATGACTTAAAAACATAAGGGATTGGGCAAAATTCGATGACCATGCACTCTTTAGAGCCACACAAGAGAGGAGTATGCCAGAACTGTCGCCAACATCCAGTGATTGAATAGGGCACCATAAGAAGAAGAATTGGCCTCAAAGGCCTGTTAACGCTAAGCATACACACATAATGAAGAAAAGAAAAAATATTAAAAATTACTAAAATGACGAAAGCAGAAATAATGGCGTTATATCGTAAAATATCATCGTGTAGTAATTATAATTCACTATTGTGTTCAGGCATTGTGCGTCCGTAATTTTCCGTAACAGATAACAATATAAAGCCGCTTCAATATTAGTAGATTCTTAAAATTGACGTATTTTTATACTCCCTGTTTACTTTTCGATTATGGACTGGGTTAAAAGTATCTTCAACTGCATTATCTCTTCGAGATGCTAGTAACTAAAAATAAATAATTGTATTGATCGACCTACATGTACCGGTTTTGTTTACGATATGGAATATTAAGAAACAATAATTCGTTTTTATGGAAAATACACATAAAGAAGTCATCTCGATGTGAGTTTTCTGTGTTTGTGACCATAAAATCGTACTTGTAAAAAATATCCTAAGGTAAACAACATAAATACCGTAATTCGAAAATATCTTGTGTGCCTAACGTTAACAAACAGTAGTAATAATTAAGATTTTCTACCTCATACAATAGAAATTGATAACAGTTTAGACTTTGTCAGCTACAGCGTGATTGACACAAGACAGGGCGGCATTTGCATTCTGAGAAAGCGAAGGTATGGGAGAGGAGACTTCTACGTCTGTGGAGGTTAATACAGATTATACGCCGCCGAAATTTTTCCGGATTAACAAGAGTTTATTGCTGTTAAAATCAACTTTATTTTTTCTTCATGGAGGTACGTATATTGTGTTTATTTTGAAAGTACTTCGAAAATAAAACATCCAATTATTTGAATCGAAACATATTTATGAGGGTTCATTTATTAGTGTTTTAATGTTTTTGTGGATTTTGATTTTTTTTATACAGGGTGATCAACTTTTCTATAATATCTGTTAAATAAGTTATGTTTTTTATCATCATCATTTGCATTTAAATTTAAAATCTGCTTCGCTTCCTCATTACAAGGATACAAAATTATAGTTAGGGGAAAGTGGAACTCTTTCAGACATAAAAATTTAAACTGTCATACCACACTAAATACCTAACTAAATAGAGAAAAATAAATATTCATAAAATATATTGTTTACCCAAATTTCTTTCTTTATTTCTTACAATATTTAAAACCATATTATAATATTTAATCAAACCCCTGATGCATATTGAAGTTTTCCAATGAAACTGAATAAGACAACAATGATTTTTGTTGCTTTGTACCCTGCTCATAAGGAGTTGACAAAAGTGCTACAATTTCTGATAAATAAGCACTAGAGATATTTGATACGGTGAGGTAAAAAACTTTATAATTTACTTTAGATGACATTCTCAAAAATAAAATTTCAACATCCCATCATCACATTAACCATTGATTTTCCTTACATAGTACACATCTTTTTGTTTTACAGTCACAAATTTAACCAGCACAAAATCTTTAATTTTCAATTTCCATCCATCCAATGGCACTACAGCCCAAGCCGGGCCTTGGCCTCCTTCAATAAACCTCTTCAAACATCTCTATTTACTGCTGTTCTTTTCCATGAACGCGTTTTTAGGAGATTTTTGGCATCCTCATCTACCTCGTCTTCCCATCTCTTTTTTGGTCTTCCAACAGGTCTTTTTCCTTGCATTCTTGCGTTTAGTAATTTTCTGGGGATTCTGTTCTCATGCATGCGGGCCACATGCCCTGCACATCGTAATATCTGCAGTCTAGTGTATTGTGCTAGTGTTGGTTCAGTGCATTGTTCGTATATTTCGTTATTATATCTAATTCGCCAGTTGTTATTTTCCTTTATTGGACCCAGTATTCTACGCAATATTTTCTTTCGAACACGTCTAATGCATTGGTAGATTTCTGTGTTATAACCCATGTTTCACACCCATAACTTACTATTGGTCGGATTATTGTTTTATATACCCGGAGTTTTGTTTTCCGGTGTACGTCTCGCGATTTGAATATTGGCCCATCGCGAAATAGGCTTTGTTTGCCAGTATAAGCCTTCTATTTATTTCCGGTTCTTCTTCATTATTTTCGACCAGATCCATTCCTAAATACGTGAATCTATTCACGTATTCTATATCGTCTATAAATTGTTGTTGTTGCGCCTGTCTATTTGATCTGGTTTGTATGAGTAGTTTTGTTTTATTTGTATTTATTGTTAGCCCTACAACTTCTGAACTCTGTTTCAACTGAACGTAGGTTTCTTCTGCCGCAGTCTTTGTTCTGCTCATTATGTTTATGTCATCTGCGTATGCTGCTAATTGGGTAGATTTGTTTGTAAGTATGTTATTTCTGCTCACCGTCAACCGTCTAATTACATATTCAAGAACAAGATTAAAAAGTGTTGGAGCCAGTCCGTCACCTTGTTTCAGTCCTTGCGTTGTCATAAACGCAATCAGTGATCTGTCCTTGAATACATACATGTGCTTCTGTTTCTGTCATTGTCATTTGCACTAGTCTTATTAATTTTGATGGTATGCCAAATTCTTGTAATATATTAGGTAGTATTGTTCTATCTATTGAATCATAGGCTTGCTTGAAATCTACAAAGAGATTATAGACGTCTATGTCATATTCCCATGCTTTGGCTAGTATTTGTTTAACTGTAAATAGTGGTCAATGACGTTAAAGGTGTATCATTTTCCCTACTGTCTACAACTGTACCAAAAGAAGTATTTGTTATATATAACGTCAAATGTATTCAAATAACCATTAACATTGTTCCATATAACATTTGTCTGTAAATTTCCTATATGAGGATATAACCGTATCTATATTATTTAGATCTTTAATTTTAGATTCACTTTGGCTTATTTGCAAATTCAACTGTTCATCTTGAATTCTGGATTGACTTGTAACATTTTTATCCTAATATATTTCAAAATTAGATACAAAATTTAAAACTTATACGTAACTATAAACTTGCGTTAAGTGTTTCGACTTTCTGCCGTTTTATTTGTGGTTCATAATCTAAAGAGTATTCACTGTTATCAGAAATATAAGTGTATAATGGATCGGCATCTGAATCATCAAATTTACTTATTTCGCTGACATTTTCAGCCAGGTGCTCAAGTTCGTGTAAAGAAAGGCATCTCTTGTTATTTTTGGACATTGTACATAAATAAACCCGACTTCAATGAATATCTAACAATAACTGGTATGCCACTCGACAATTTCGTATCTCCAAATTGTATCTACAATGTTGCCAATTTTAGTATGCCAGGATTATCGAACTAACATTGAAAATTGGATACCACAGCCTAAAGGAATGATAATACACGTATAAATACACTACAACTGCGTTCGGGCCACATAATTCGTCACATGAATGCGTTCTATTCGCCTGTATCGAATTCATACACATAGGCTCAGGAAGGAAGCTTTTTAAAACTCTTGGAGGAAGAAAGAATAAATTGGATAACGGCTGTCTTCAATAAAATATACAATACAGGAATCATCCCTAATAAAAAGTGCGAAGAATATCGAACAATCAGTCTAATGAGCCACATGTTGAAACTGTTTCTTAGAGTCATCCATGGAAGAATTTATAAGAAGTGCGAGGAACAAATATCGGACAGACAGTTCGGCTTCATTAACGCAGTGAAAAGGGATTTGGCAGAGTTCAACATCAAAAGATGATAAACATTTTAAAAGAGGCAGACTTGGATGACAAAGACCTCAGAATAATCATGAATGTTTTGCTTGTGTGAGTCCATTTCAAATAGGTAAAGAAATAATAAATAAATAAGAATAATAAACGAATAATAAATTGATTGTGAGTAAGTCTTATTTATTATTTCTTTACTTACCTCAGAATAATTTTAGAACTCTACTGGAATCAGACCGCATACATGAAAATTAACGGAGAAGAAACAGATCACATAAAAATACTACGTGGTGTTAGACAGGGATTTATCCTATCGACGTTGATATTTAATATGTACTCAGAGAAAATTTTTAACGAGGCTCTTTACGGAATAGACGAAGGCATCGTTCTAAATGGTGAAAGAGTAAACAATGTTAGATATGCCGACGACACCATGGTGATAGCAGATAGTTTATAGGGACTTCAGAGGCTAATGGACAGAATAAACGAGTACAGTCAACAGTACGGACTAAACATTAATACCCACAAAACGAAACAAATGATTATCAGCAAGGAGAATATAAACGGGCTCATCTATACATTAATGGGACGCAGATAGAGCGAGTAAAACAGTATTGCTTCCTGGGAACTATTATAAACGAACAGTGGAGCAATGTACTGGAAATAAAGTGCCGCATAGGAAAGGCAAGAACGGTCTTTAACAAAATGAGCGCCATCTTCAAAAGTCACAACATATCCCTAGATACAAAAATGAGACATTTGAGATGCTATGTTTTCTCTGTGTTGTTGTACGGGGTGGTGGCATGGACGCTTACAGACACCACTATTAAAAAACTTGAAGCATTTAAGATGTGGCTTTATAGAAGAATGCTGAGAATATCATGGATAGCAAGAATCACGAACAAGGAAAATGAAGAAGGAACCAGAGATTGTGTTTACGATCAAACGCATAAAATTGCAATATCTGGGACACGTTATGAGAAATCAGCACCGTTACTCCCAGCTGCAGTCTATATTGCAATGTAAAGTCAAAGGTAAGCGAAGACCCGGTAGAAGAAGAATATCGTGGCCGCGGAATTTAAGAACATGGTTGAAGAAAACCACAACGGAGCTGTTTAGAGCCGCAGCGAGCAAGGTTATGATTGCCAATATGATTTTCAACATCCGAAACGGATAGGAACCAGAAGAAGAAGAAGAAGGCTCAGGGAAAGTACATGTTGTGTATTATATATGATACACATAGAACCCAAAATGTTTTAACTAGTATAATTATTAAAATAATCTTTTTTTGAACAGGATTTCCGGAATGAAAATCGTAACGTCATTTGTTAGTTAAAAATATAATTGTCATTACAATCAATAATGGCTTAATCCCATGGACACACAATATTTAACTTAGAGATGTCATTAATAAGATAACTAAACTATTATAGTTGTTGTTTGTACGTTATATTTTTCAAAAGTAATATTTGACTTACTTGGCATAGATATCAGCATTGGATAACATCAGCATGCTTGTGGTTGAAAACGGGTGATCTGATGGTGGTGTTTTTATCTTTTTGATATTAAGTTTTTACTCACTGTTTTTATTTTCATTTTTACGTTTTACTTTATTAGTTTATTAGACTGGATTTGTGAGCTGTACAAGTTTTATAGAAGTCTTCAACTATCTTTGATATTTTATATCTGTCAATAAGTGATGGATTCGACCGTTACTTGATGAAAATTCATTTTATATAACAATAAAACACCGAAAACTTTGTTTTTAAAACTTACACAGATTTTATTTTAAATTATTTTCACTACAGCTCTTTCGGCAGAGGCCCTTCTCAAGTGATACTGATTTTATTTTGTTGATTTTGTTGAATTTGAAATTCTCCATTAAAAGAAAGATTCTAGTCTAGAAGGTATAGTGCTTACGTAAAATCTGTTTTTTTTTATTATTGAAAGCCCTTTTATGTTCTGCTATACGTTTGTTAAAAGTTCTACCAATTTGACCAATGTAAGTTTTTGAGCAGTCGACACATTTAAGTTTGTATACACCACTGTGTAAGTGCTTTTTCTTTTGCAGTTCTCATCTCATTTGCATCTCATTTGCAGTTCAACTATTTGCTTAATAATGTTCTATCTCAAA